GAGACAGTCTCTTACTCATATGTTCTGTGCTAAGCAGATCTATCTTTTTCTTAGTTATCTGTGTCTCATACTGCTTTCTTCATTGTTCAGTGGGATTATTGTTTCTTCACTCCCCATCATGAAAATTTGATAATTTAACAATTTGATTGTGTGCATCCTCATTTCTCAGGGATCAACTTAGGACTGATCTATATCAAATGCTTAAACTGTGAATTTCTGGGGGAACTTCCAGAATGGGAGCCAATAATACATATATAATAGTATCAACTACATATATAATAGTATCAACTTCAGAATATTTTTTCCCTACTGAAACTCAGAAACCATACAATGGAAAACAAATGTTTTCTTCCATGTTTTCCCTCACACTGTTAAACTGATTGCATTGCTGAGCTTTGTTGTATATGGAGAATAGGAGGAGAAATATTTTTTTTCTTTGACTTTCGTTTCACTTGTGAAAGGATGTGACAAAAAACTAGTCACATAATGGTCCAGCAATCTTCTCTTGATATTCAGGAAATTTTTGAAAGACTCAGAGGGTTCCCAAGATTGGAAACAAAGACAACAGCAGCATAGTGTACATCTTGTCAGAAGGTTTGTAAGCTATTCATTTTACTTTAGAATTATAGACTGGTTTTCAAGTTCCAGGCTACTGGCTTCGCTGGGGAGAGTTTGGGGGTTTTATCCTTTGATTCTTCACTTGGGTTAGAGGAAACAAAAGAGAGAGAAAGTATCTTGTTAAATGGCCAAGTCCTACTAATTCCCATCATATTAAAGAGCCAACTATATCCCATTTCAAAGTAAACAGATGGAAAGTGCACAGAATGAAACCCTGATTTAATAATGGAACAGGTTAATGTGCTTATCATGAGAAACATGTAAATAGAAAGCTTAAAATAGTTCAATGTGTAATACACTGAAATGAGAAATATGCTCAGATATAAGTATATATTAAAAAAAAAAAGAAGATATTTTGAAAATACTGATGAGAAGAACACATACACAGGCAATGTGTATTCCAAAACTTCTAAATTTTGGTCATCACAGGATTCTTTATTATCAATCCTATATCCAGTAGTTTTAGATTTACTGTCCTTGCTTCTTATAAAATTACACAGAGGCTGCTGCTTTATTCCTCTCCAGGACAGTAAAAAGCAATAAAATTCTTGCAGATTTCAACAGCAGGCAATTCAATAAAAGGCTATGTATATTTTATAAGTACAATAAAGACAGGTCTATAGCTGAATCATAAATGTTTTTTTTTTTTTTGTTTGGTTGGTTGTTTTCTGCAAGCATCTTTTTTGGAGTCTGTTTTCAACACATGGTCTTCCCAATATACAGTTTCCCTTTTTCGGAGAAGCAGAACAAAATTTATATATCTGCAATGCATAATTTAAGTTTTGCTCAAGGGATTTTGCAGCATGCATGTATTTAAAATTTAAAGGTGTATTGGAACTCAATACTTTCCTATTCTTGGTTAGCACTATAAAGCTGCATGTCATTTTTTCTTGCATTGTAAAGCATACCTATCTCAACTATCTCTACCATGTGGCATTCTCATCCTTCTGAGCAAACAATAAATATTTGATACATTCATAATTATTTTCTGGAATATCAATGCTCAGATTTTTTTTAATTCTGCAGTAATGTCAGATAACGTGGACATAAATGGATTGGTGTGTTTCTGAACAATAGTGCTATCACGGATTCAGTGACAGTGCCTGTCTGCTAAAAGATACAGCTTTATACAAATGTGAAACACAAATTTAGTGATGTGTAAATCAGCTATCCTTTACAATTACAGATGTGTAATTTTTTGTTCAAACTTGAAGGAAACATTGAAAAACTATGAACTGGAGTCAGATTAAAGAAAAATTGAGCACCCTTCTTGCAATATCTGAGGCAAGTTCTGCAGCACGGAAAATCAGAATTTGATCTGAGCAGGGAGTGTGACATCAGAAATCAAGCTTTCTAAACCAGAAAACTTTACTGTGTGACTAAGAAGAGTGCCAGGTACCAGAGGTTGCCCAGTAGTTTGATAGGTAAGCCTGGCTTTGTACATCAAGGTACTGTTGTCATCATATTAGATCAAATGAAGATAACAACTTTCAGGGTATCTGAACACTATGGGACAGACATGAATACACTTTTTGTCTGTCTGTGCAGGTAAAGCTGTTGTAAGAATTATAAGATTTTATTTTTTTTACCAACAGAAATATCTGAAGTATCTCTGTCACAAAATCAAAATAAGCATGCTTTGAAAAGACACCTATGTCAGCCCATTAAACATCAAGAAAGAACTTCCTTTCAGTTGACTTATTAGAATATTAACTTTATAACAGGAAAAATGCAAATCCATCCACCTTAAAAACAAATCATTTAAATGAATCACAGCAGGGACTACAGAGGATAAAAAAAAACCCACAACACTGATATGAAAAAAAGCACTAAAGTCAAGGGAGAACAGTGATGATCAGCAAGCTTAGAAGGATTAGGGCATGAACAGAAAACAAGCAAAATGAGAGTTAAGAATCATCTCAGCTTTCAGTTTCTACATTGTTACCAATTTGACGCCTTAGATACCATCCATTTTTAGTCCTCATCTGGCATTGTCATTTTGCTATTTGAAGATGTCTAATATGGTGACCATAGATTTCTGTACTTTGGTGGTTAAATATTAATGGGAATTACATCAGGCACATTAGTCCTAATTGCTTTTCTCCTTTTCAAAGCATTTTTTTTTTCAAAGCACAAATTTCTGGGACAGTGCAGTTAAAACTCCAGGAACTGCACCATCTGTGTCTTACAGCTGACCATGAGAGACCAAGCATTCTTTAAAACAAATGAAAATAAACAAATAAACAAACAAACGAAAAACTTGAAGAGAGAAACTAATGAACCTCCTGCAGCCTCCATGCATTTGGTATCCAAGCGTTAATCAAGGACATGCTGTTGGCCTAGCCTTCAGCACCATCTGCTGGGTCAGAAAGAGATCGAACATTCTTGAGGCTTGCTGAGATCTTTCCTTTGCACTGTGCCGTCTCACCCGTCTCACACAGCCCGGGATCTTTAATCAAAGTTAAGTATAAAACATTCAAACAGCAATCAAGCGTATTTGTACTTTATTTATGCCAGAATTAACAGAAAGAGTCTAGAAACAATGCCTTCTGCATAACCTCCTGATTATTGCCTTTCCCTCCTTAGTGAAACACTACTATCTAAAGGGTAGTTGGTGGACAGACAGAAATTTCAGTAAACAAAGTTCACTGACACATAGCTTTAATAGATAAATATAATCATCTATTTTTCTTGAAAACCATTTCATAACGAGAGCCAAGGATTATGCATCCAGCTAACATTGAATTCATCACTATTTCTAGGTAAGTTCAGAAAATCTAAACAGGGAAAGACTAAGAAATAAGTTACTGCTTATGCCAGATAGCTCCAATTATTTTGCTGGACTTTCATGCATACAGATATCTCAGTCGGGTTTTCTTTCTAACAAAACTGAACTGAATGAGAAACTTCCGAAACAAAATTAAATAGGCACTACTCTTGCTTACATCAAAAGTGTCTTTTAGAGAAAAAAAAAAAAAAAAAAAAAAAAAAAACCACAAAAAAAAACACAAAAAAACCCCCACAAGTACTGCTGCTTCTTCTTAAGAACTGTGGGAAAATGATATGGCATCTAACAGTAACACAGGCTTAATTTGAACTCCCTTTCCTTTTTTTAGAACAGGAGTCCCAAAGTTTCAGAAGTTAATCTTCCCCAGAAATGCCTAGTAATCTGTTTTCTTAGCTACAGTACTGTCAAAAACTTACCAACTTTTTGTTTGGAGTCTCAATGTCTTACAGAAATAGAACTAGCTGTAGACTTATGAACTCCGTTAGTCTTGTGGCACAATAACACTATCATGAACACCACTGGTTTGTTTGGAGAGTTCAGAGTAAATTCTGATCTATTTTTATGCTGGAAGTTGTCCTTACTTGAAAACTTTGTACGTACGTACTTGTGTACGCACGTTTTGTGTACATACTTGTTGCACGGCCAATTGAGTGGTCCAACTGTAGAGTAATTCTTGTTATGTAGCAGGGCTGCTACATCTGCTCGTAGCATGTGTAGAGCACGACTAAGCAGCCAGAAAACTGCTGGTTTGGTTCAATCACATGTTGGTCTCTGGTTGTCCCCTCCTGGAACTGTCTACATTAGAGATGAGCAGCAATTACAATTGCAAGGGAGAGTAGCGATGAAATAAAGAAAAATGAGGACTCTTTGGGGAAACCTTGTGGTGACAATACTACACATCCATTTCAAAATCAAACCACAGAAAGAAAGTAATATTTAAAGCAATTGTGCATTATCACAAAACCATTAAGATAAGCGACAAACGAATCTTTTTAAAGCTAGTGCCTTGATGTTGGTGACTTTCCAGTTGTTCACCTGCAGACATGACATAACATATTAGTAATTCTGTCTTGTCATTTATTTGCCTCTGCAGGGGATTCAAGAATGCCCAGTCCCTCCTGGATTTCTCAGCAGCATACAGGTTCCCAATGACTGGCATTTTTTCTCCCTTTTTATTGCTACTTATAACAATACCCATTTTTGCCACTTGACTAATTTTTTAGGCAAGTTCAAATTTCACTAAAAAAATTCCAACAGAGCTCGCTGTTTCAGAGGTCTGCCTTGCTGAGACGCCCCTCGGGTTGGCGATCACCACCTTTCATTTTCAAAGACTTGGGGAAAAACCAGGGAAGAAGTACTGAGGGATCCTAAGGAGGTGCACACAAAGCGACCGAGGAATTTCGCGTAGCGGAGCAGACGGTCCTTTAATCAGATACCACCGCGGCCCAGCGGCGCGCAGCACACTCGAACCACACACAGCTGCCATTCGGCCTCCCGCGGCGCTCAGTCGGGCGGGACCGAAACGGATCTGCCCCGCCCCGCCCCGCCGCCTTGCGGGCGGGAAGCGGAAGAGCCGTTCTCGGGCCGTCAGGTGACCGGGATGCGGAAGTCTTTCACGGGGAAGCGTTGTTTCCGGGGCTGTCCAGGCTGGTTGAACTGTGTCGGCCGCATTGAGCGCTGAAGCTGAGGTCGTGGCCCACTATGAGAGAGACTCTGCGGCCCGCAGGTGAGAGGCTGCCCGAGCATAGGCCGCGGGAAGCCGCGAGGCTGAGGGCTCAGGCGGTGCGTGAGGCCTTCTCCGCCCTGCCGCCCCCCCTCCGCCTCCCGCCGCTGCTGCCGCCTCGCGCGGCTTCTGCATTTCTTTCTGCCGGGGGGCGCTCCCTCAGAAAGCTGTGAGGCGGCTCCTGGCCCCGCCCCGCTCCCGGCCCTTTTCTCGGCGGCGATGAGCTGCCGTTGGGTTGTGTCTGTGCCCGTGACGCCTCCGCATGGCTCCCCGCGGCGTCCCTGCGGGTGCTTCGGTGGGCGTAGGGAACGAAAGGGATTCCTTCGAAAGCTTGACGGAGGGCTGAAGTTGCCGTACGCTAGTTGTTTACGAAATTACTTTTAAGCAGATAATACATGCCCTGTGTTTCAGTATCGTAGCGTGGAAGTGAAGCGTTTTCTGTGAGCTGCGCTAGAAAAACTTTTTTTTAATGAGCAAGAATAAAGAAAAAAATGCAGCAATAGAGCAGGCTGCAGAAGAAGAAATTGAAACTTCTGGGAAAAAAAAGCATTTTTGAATGGCTTTACTAACAAAAATTTCCACTTATCTTTTGATAGCTTTGGTATTGTTTTTTTTTTTAATGAAAATTTAAAACTTATAAAAGAAAGGCTGCTCTCACCCATAACTGTTTCTCTGGTGAATAACCATGCTAGGTACTTGATGATATCTGGCAGCTTAGACAAGCAGGAATTATAGCAATTGCTCTTAAAGAACAATTGAGGCGATATATTTCCTAAATAGTTAATTTTGCTTTTTTTTTTTTTTAGGTGAGTATGAAAAAATACAATCTTAAATCTGAGAATACTTTGAAAAGATGTAAAGAAATAATGTGCCTACATTTTTTAAAAGTAATTTTAAAAATATGCATTTCATGACATGCACTGTATATAAGTGTCTGAAGTACTGCCGTAATGTTGTCAAGTGTTTTAAGCAAAGTTGAAGCACAGTTGAACTTACAGACATTATCATTTGCATGTTTTAGGCTTCTTTTCACTTAATATGACATGGTAATTGTCTCAGAAGAGTGTTTATGTGAGGCAGTCACTGCAGGAAAGGAGCTCTCTAAACTAATTTTCATATTTTAGCTGAGAATTTTGAGGTAGTGTGTAAACAACTCTTCAGTTGAATCATTGCTTCAACCGGTAAAGCAGTGACAATTCATGAAGATGTTAATGTTGCTGAATACAGGCAGTTTCAGTGCTGAGTTACAGAATTCTTACTCATTTGGTTGTCTTTCTTCTTAGTGGAAGCTTTTTTTTTTTCAGTCTTTACTGTCCCTCCTGCTATCCAGCAGGGGGAAATTTGTGTAAGGTTTTGAGAAAGAAGGAAACTGGTTAAAAACAGTGCCTTTTTACTTTTGAATATATTGCTATCATTATTTACTGTTATAAATGATTTCCATAATAAGAAGCTATTCCTTCTAATCTGTTTTCTTCAGAGATTCTATGTGAGGGAATCACATTGATGCCGTAATTCTAATTTAAAAAAAAAAAAAAAAAAAAAAGGCATTTGAAAGTATAATCTTTACTGTTCTGTAGGCAATGCTCACCTCAGTGTTTGAGGAGTTTCAGCATGTATTTCTTGAAAGTTTTGTTATCTTTCTGAGCCTGTGCTCTCTCTTCTATGTTAATCTTATTCATCTTGATCTAAGTTAATGGGGAATTACCTGTTTTCACCTGTGCTCTGTATGTTGTCATCCTTTTCTAGCTTTGGAACTTTAAAGAACGAACAGTGTGGCTTTGGGAGAGTGGAGGAAAGATGTCAACAGTATGAGCTGGAAACCATCTGATCAGTCAGGAAGGAATTATGTAACGATTGACTGTTGATTAAATGTTGATTTACATAATCACTCCTGTGTAGACAGTATTTTGTAAGTACGCACTGCTGTTTTTCTTCCACTTAGTAGTGATACCATTGTGCCAATGAGCCAGCACTTGAATGCAGTGCATCTATTAAATTTTTCTATAGCTCGTTGCGTAGATATATACATTATACATTTATTATATACAAAATTATATGAATTATTATATACAGTATATAATTATAGGTACTACAGTTACTGTACAGACTCTGTAGCAGAGTTTTATAATCGTGTCCTCTCAATTCCATGTTTCCATGGAATCAGTTAAATTTCAGAGTACTGCTTGTAATGCGTGTTCTATTTTTGTACCGAGTACATGCACTTTTAAATCCTGTATATGTGTGCTCTTTGCTTATTAATTAGTATTCTTTCTATCTGTTAAAACTTTCTCGTACTTACCAGAAGCATCTTTATGGGAAAAACTGCTTTCTACTTCATAGCTGTTTTGGAATTTTGTTATGTTCAATTTACACATCAAATTGAAAAGTTGCATGAACTTAGTTTATTCAGATAGTTAATGTTGGTCTTTTATTGTTACACTTCAATTTCTGGTTATTATTTCTGGTGATAACAATATGCACATTCGTATTAAACTTCAATATAAGATGTAACGCAGGCATTTTAACGAATGTTACTATTAAATAATTGTCAACTTTGTGATTGACATCTGAGTCATGGAAGCGTAAACATTAATATCTGAATTACTAGCTGAGCTTCTGGTGTGCGGTTGCTGAATTATTACAGGTATACAAGGTGTATCTCTCTGTAGCTCCTGCTGTAGTGGGCAAGTCTTCTTAAATAGAAGCAGCACAGCTAAATATGCTGGCATAGCAATTTGTTCCTCAGTACAACTTTCCAGAAAGAGAAAGTTGAAATCAAGGAGGAAGAGGTGGGGGAGGGGGCAGGGATAGAAATATAGCAGTGATGCAGGTTCTGGAAAATGTTGGAGTGACTTCCATATAAGTTTATAAGGAAACTGAGAGATTTATACTTTACTAAGCAGAATTTCTGATCTTTCGTTGTTTGCTTTCTTTCAGCACAACACTAAATTTGTAATGAAATGGAGTCTGGATCAAGCTCTTTCCGAGTGGAATTTCCAGATTTTTCAAGCACCATTTTGCAGAAGTTAAATCAGCAGCGCCAGCAAGGACAATTATGTGATGTGTCCATTGTAGTTCAGGGCCATCTCTTCAGAGCCCATAAAGCTGTTCTTGCAGCTAGTTCACCTTACTTCTGTGATCAGGTTCTCCTAAAAAATAGTAGGCGAATAGTCCTGCCTGATGTGATGAATCCAAGAGTATTTGAAAACATTCTTCTGTCTACCTACACAGGTCGACTGGTAATGCCTGCTCCAGAGATTGTTAGTTACTTGACAGCAGCAAGTTTCCTTCAGATGTGGCATGTAGTAGATAAATGCACTGAAGTGCTAGAGGGAAACCCAACAGTTCTTTGTCAGAAGATGAATCATAGCAGTGACCATCAGTCCCCAAGCAGTAGTAGTTACAATGGCCTTGCTGAAACCTTTGAACTTGGATCTGGAGGGCAGACAGAATTCCACAAAGTGCAGGAACTGAGGGATGGTGAAAATGAAGAAGAGAGTTCTAAAGATGAGCTATCGTGTCAACTGACAGAACATGAGTACCTCCCCAGTAATTCTTCAACAGAGCACGACAGACTTAGTACAGGAATGACGAGTCAGGATGGTGAAGAAGGAACTAGTGATAGTGCTGAATATCAATATACCAGACCTATATATAGCAAACCCAGCATCATGTCTCACAAGCGATGGATCCATGTGAAACCAGAAAGATTTGAACAAGACTGTGAAGGTGTTGATAATCCTTATGATGAACATCAAGTTTCTGAATCCATGAATGCCATTCAGGCAGATCATTCAATCCAGTCTTCAGGTGTTGAAGACTTTCATATAGCTGACAAAAAGATGGAAGCAGAATTTGATGAACAGGCAGATGAAAGTAATTATGATGAGCAAGTTGACTTCTATGGCTCTTCTATGGAAGAATTTTCTGGTGAAAGGGCAGATGGAAATTTAAGTGCTCACAGACAAGATCTTATGATAGCAACAGGCTATGGTGAAGGCATTGAAATGGCTGCAGGAATTAAAGAAGAAACGTCCCTCACTGGATTCTCGCATGCTGATAAGCTTTATCCTTGTCAGTGTGGTAAGAGCTTTACACACAAAAGTCAGAGAGATCGGCATATGAGTATGCACCTTGGTCTTCGACCTTATGGGTGTGGTGTCTGTGGTAAGAAATTCAAAATGAAACACCATCTTGTTGGCCATATGAAAATTCATACAGGCATAAAACCATATGAATGTAACATCTGTGGGAAAAGATTTATGTGGCGGGACAGTTTTCATCGGCATGTGACGTCTTGTACCAAGTCATATCAAGCTTCTAAAGCTGAGCAGAGTACTACTGAGATGAACTGAGACATTAGAGCTTACATTTGTTCAGTACAGTAATAAAAATAAACTAATTATTCAAATAGTGTCTGGTACTTGCTATTGTGAAACTCAAATTCTCAAAAAACAAGTTTTAATGATTACGCTGGTGTGAGCAGACCAAATGTTTTATTTTCCACAATACTATTCCAGGCGGTGGGTGTGCAGTGGAAATGGTTAATCTGAAAGGTGCTTACAAAACGTGTTCTGTAAGGTCGTTGTGACGTTAATTGCTATTACAACAGTATTTAGAAGCCCTGTTGTTTTCTGAGTCTTATAAATTGACAGTAAAACCTAGCTCTAAATTGACCAAATTGTACAAGTATTTACATGAAGCAGGAATTCAAATAGCCTTACGGGGGGGGAAGGGGGAAATAATATTAAAGAGAACTAGGATAACTGTACTAGGCTATGTGGATTGTCTGTTAATAAAATTTCTGTGATTCATGTTTTAAGGGGAAAAAAAGTAGAATTTTACTTTAGGCCAGAGACTGCCAACGTAATCAGTGTGCATCATTAAATAGCCTGCATTATTAACTATCCCTTATTGCAGTGCTTAATGAAAGACTGTGTTAAAGGTGGTTTGGCTTTCCTTTATCTGTCTTCCACTTTTTTTTAAAATCTGTCTCCAGTAAGACAAGTGGTTGCTTAATTTTGTGCTGGTTTCTCTTTAAAGAGTCTGCAAAGCACTTAAGTATAGTTGAGCACTATATGAACTTTAAATTATATTTAATGCAAATTTGTTTGTTCTTCCAGGGCCTAATGCTATATGAGTCTTGGCTTGATTTTAATTGTTACATAATGAGAGCTATTGAAGTGTGTATAATAAGTATATCTTATTTTTTTTTTTAAAGTAATATTTGGAACTTACCCAAAATACGAAAAAATCTAAGATCTAACTGTATATTCACCTTTTTTGTGACTTACTACAGTAGCAAGTACCAAACTCTGTAGTTTCATAAATTGACTTGATGTTTATTGGTACAAAATCTTGTTTGAGAACTTTTATTTAGTTTTAGAAACATGCTTTAGGAAAATGATTTAGGCATTGATGATTCTTAGTTCTTTACTTTTTGAATAGTAAGAAGTAAGAACTATGATACAGATTCTTGGTACTGAACTACTGTGACTGGTTACATATGATCCTAAGTAGCCAGATCTGTTTACCTCTTCAAGTGAGGTTGCTTGTAGGGGGAGAAGGGAAGATGTAGAAATACAGTGTTTGGATCTGGTAATCGTGCTGCAGATCATGGTACCGTGCCCATGTCCAAGGTCTGGATTTTCACAGGGAAAGTGACACTTTTTCATTAGGATGAGGATCTCATTCTTGGAGCTAGATGGAGGAATGTTTGTAGTTTTGAGAGATGCTGCCAGCTCTGCAGGTAGAGTGAGTGCATCACTTACAAAGGTGGCAACAGGATTTTAGGGTTGAAAGCATAGTGCATTCCTATGCAAAAGCAATAACCCTTCTCTGTACTTTACTAAAATATAAAAAGAGTCTTTAGAGTATGCCTAGAATAGAAAGAAGCGATATCCAAGCATGGTGTTTGTGACGTGAGGAAAAAAGTTAACAAGTATCAAAAGCCTTCTAAACCTGTCTAGCCCCAGTTAATTCATTAAATCTGCAATGTGCAGGATAAAATACTTAAACAGATGACCCTGTATGCTGAAGCAAAATCATGAAGGTAATGCCAATTTGGATTCTTTTTTAAACTCCTAATTACAACTTGTCTTGAGATGCAACCAAACAGTATCCTGAACATCAGTGTCTTGTGCAAGCTGGGATTTATTACTTGGCAGGTTGTAATTGCTGTCACTTCTTTTCTGGCATTCTACTTACAAACTTCAGTTTTTTTAAAGAGGCTCTAAATCTTCTAACAATTCAGATATTTTTTCACACAGAATGTTCTTAAAACAAATACTCCCAAATATCATGAATCCATTGCTGGCAATGGGCATGAGTGGTCAGCATCAAGGAGTTCCTATTCTTAGCACTTAATTGAACTGTAATATACCATGGTGGCCATATATATAACCCTTGTAATCAAGGTAACTAAACAGGGATTTGCTCATTAACACTGTAACCTGCTTTACGTATAGAAGCACTTTGTATTTAAAAAGTATAAAATATATATATATAAAATTATGTTTTTTAAACTTATAAATGACATTCCCTTTATGATTTATTTCCACACTGCTAACACTATCTTTTTTTAATACTAAGAAAATTATGATGCTTGCCTGTTTACATAAGTATAGAGGAAAGGGTTCTTGCAGTCACTGGCCCGATTTTTCCATTCTTCAAGGCCTTACTCTGTATCCAGGGCATCATTTCTGCAAGTACCATCATCACATTTTTGAGGAAGTCATATTCATGCTCATTTGAAGAATGATCTTATATACTGCATTGGTTCTCATACCCTTTCAAATTGTTATTTCAGCGTTGCATAAAAAGATGAAGGATGTCACTTCCCACTTAACCAATAAAAGGCTGATCAGAAGCACCAGGCTGAGAACCATGGTCAAGCAAAAAATTATAACCATTAAATCCAGACCACCTTACAGAGCTGCCAGCAAAACTGTTTCTTTTTACCAGTTTGGAATGACTTTTATATGGAATGTTTTGAAGTTGAAATTTGCTCCTATTTGCAGTTAGATTACTTTAAAATAAAGCTTTAAAATGTACCGAGAGAGACACTTTAAATGTTTTTATAACAGGTTCAGTAGATCATATTATAGAACCATATCCTCCTTTAGTGATTCAGCATGAATAGTATTTTTTAAATATTTGCCTGTTACTGTTTTACTCTATAATATGACATCATCTGGAACTCCAGCAAAAGTTGCTGCACTGATTTTTTTTTTATTATTTTTTTTTATTAACACTTGACTTTCTGATGTTAATTCACATGAAACCATCTGATTGAAGGAAAATATTGATAAGCTTATTACAAGAGTTAATTGAGAGTATTGAGTGTTTAAGTGAAGCTTGAGGTACTTTTGTAAAAATGTTACTTTTGTCTACCACAGGCAAAAAGTTGACTTGGGAATGCTTTTACAGAGCTTAACTTACTGTGTTTCAACAGACTTCTAAACACTGATGGAGGTATTGAGAAAAGAAAACAAAAAATTAAACACTTTCCCTTCCTTAGCTCACCTTAACTGATGCCTCTCTTCCTCTGGCTCTCTGGCTTCCTAATCTTATTTCTGCTTGTTTTCACTGGGAGTTCCTCTAAATCACTTCATTTCAATTCTCTTGGTGAGGTGAAAGTTTGCATAGGAGGTTGGGGTTATATATATCCTTGTTTCTTAGTGGGTGGCCCCTCCTGTACCAGGCTTGTTAGTGTCACTGACCCTTGGTGTGGTTTATCCATGGACTGTAGTTGTTCCTGGGGTATGCATGTTCTTGGTTGGGTCACCCCTGGGGCTCATTTATTGCAGAGGTGTACCCGCTCTAGCAGAGCTTATCCATTGGTTGAAGTCCCATGGAACTTATCTAGCAGTTTTTCCTAGAGCACCATATGAACTTCTGAGGGTGGATCTTCACATGTGTCCTCAGTATCTCCTTTGCACATCTTCCCTTGAGCATCTCCTCAGTTTCTCCTCATGTGTTTCTAGCTTTGTTTCCTCAAGAGTATCTCCTTTTTTAATTCTCTGCACCTCTTGCTAGCATTTATTGCTTGTTCTTAAATGCATTTCAGCAGAGGTGCTGTGCTGGTTCAAGGTTTGGCATATAATGGACTGTTTATATCAGTTTCAGTGCTAGCTAGTAACTGTTTTGAAAGGCACAGGGCAGTTTGTGACTATTGCCATGTGTTCCACCTTTGCAGCCCACTGAAACCCAGCAGTTTAGGCCCAGGACAGCTTTACACAGTAAAGAAAGAAATGCAAATGCAGCTTCTCCTGAGCTGTTAGTCACTGCTAGGGCAGTGGCTTTGTTCAAGAGATTTTTTTTTTTCCTGTCTGTGAGCAGGAGGGAAGTGATCAATAAGTATCCAAACGCATATCTGGTAAATTTCGTTCATCTGCCCATAAGCTTCTTTAATGATACAATCTTGAAACTTCTGGGTATTTTTATATTGCTCACTTCTGCTGTTGACAGAAGTAAGGTGAATATCTTCTGAAAACCAGAATTATTGTACACACAGGAGGCTATCAAAATTTTCTATTATTGTGAAGCAATTCATTGTCCTGTCAGTGGAAGAACATCATCTGCTATGACAGCTGCATTCATTTGTATTTCATTCCAGTACTAAGCTGTTAATTACCATGTAATCTATGTAACTGACATTCCAAAAAAATATACAAAAACTCCTGGCAGGGTTAGGATGTCCTTTAGGTGTATATCTGACCCTTTTGAGGGAGAAGTTTTAATATTTCACACACCACTGTTGTAGATTTGTTACTGTTTTTTAAGTTCACCTTCAAAGTTGCATGCAGCAACTATCTTCATTTAATGGATGAGCAGGTAGACTCTAGAAGGTACTGTCCATTACATTTTTGCTTTTACCTTTTCTTCATCTGAGATGTTTGTGTTTAAGAAACTTTGTCGTGTATCAAAAGCAAGGGAGGGTGGTCAAAGCTAATAACACTGAAGTCCCTGTGCTGTTGAGTCTGAAAGAATGGAGTCACTTCTTGTAATTTCAGCCCTTTTGTGCTGAAAGGTGAGGTGACCTTTCTCTGAATCCTGAGAGCCCCTAGCAGTATACTGAGTGTTTTGCTTTAATAGAATTAGAACATTTCTCAAAACAGATGAAAGTTGCTTTTATTTTTTATCATTTAAATGCTTCATTGGATAGCTAGAGCTCTTCAGCTATAAGCTGTAAGCTGACAGTGCCCTAGGGGAAGATGCTGGAAAACAAAATGGTATATTTTTAATGTGATTAAATTGTAAGTTCTAATTTTGCTTGAAGCCTGTGTCTGTTGATTGCTGCTTTTTTTTTTGTTGTTGTTGTTGTTTTGCTTTGTTCTTCATGGGATTCCATATTTCTTCCAGAAATATAAGCGCTTATGCAAGTCAAGTGAATCTTCCTTAATGAGCTATATGGTTTTATTCTAAAAAGTCATTTATAATAGTAAAACTGCATATCTTGATATTTTGTGAGATGTTACGCTTGTATTGCAGAGGTTGGATAGATTTGTCTATAAATATTGCTGTCTTAATTGTACAGCATGGTTTTAATTTAATGTTACTGTTCAATATTTTCTTCTTATAGAAGAGTCTCATGCCCCCTTTTTGTATAACGTTTTAATAAATGTTATCTGTCGACTTTGTAATGTTTTCTTAAGCCTGAATGAAAGGAATGCATGTCTAGTACTAGTACTTAATATTTCACTTTTACCAAATTAAGTACTCAAACAATACTTCAAATCCAAAATTTGTTCATATATAACTTTATTAAATATGTGAAGAAAAAGTTGTAATGTGTTTTCTTGAAATACCGAGCATGCCACCCTAGCCTAAGAAAACACTAAAGAAAAAAACTGATTTTAAAAACTGTTTTTTAAAACAAAGGTAGTTGATAACTTTCTGGAATTGATGCCAGTTTTATTTGCAGCTTAGATAATTAGTTGTCACGTGAGTCTGAATTATAGTAAGTACAAACTTATGAAAACTCCAAAACACTCACTTAACAGTAGCAGCAAGCACGCATTTAGTTACACTTTCTGTATACACAAAAGAAAAAGGCCAGAGTATTGTGCCTGTTCAGCATTAGTCATTTGATTTTCAGTAATAGGTGTTTTATTTAAGTTTGCTGTTTATGTCCTGGTCAGCTTACTCAAGCAACTTTGCCACGTTACTGTGGAGCACCAGACTTCTGAAGATCATCTTCCACATGCTTTACAGGGAGAGAAAGACTTGCCTTCATAAGATAAACTGTGATGTCTGAGTTGCAGGTGATTATCATAGCAGTAGTTGTCCTCCATGCAGTGTTATAGCAAGCCGTGAGTTTAGCAGTGAACTGTTGCCCTATGTATGCTATGAGCATGTGCAGGGGTGTGAGGGAAAAGGACAGCATACCGCAGATGATCTTAATTCCTAATTTATGACGCTCAATAGAGGCAGTTGTTCACACTTGAGGTACAGAGGAGTCCCCACCCAACCTGTCGCAAAGATTAGCTTCCTGCCTCTCTGTGGATTTGTCATCGACATTGTGCCTGGCAGCCAGGGTGGTTGTTTTTTGGGTTTTGGTTGGTTTTTTGTTTTCTAAAAAGCTCTCAAAATACATCCGATCATATATTTCCAAAAATAAGTATTTTTGGTGCGATGCTAAGCCGTTCATAGTTTTTGTTTTCTCTTTTCCAAATTCCTCGCCGCTGTTAATTTTTGAAGGCATGTTATGAAGCCAAAGACAGACTTTTAGGACTGTACGTGCTCGTGTTACCCAGAGGCTTCGACCACGGCTTTGCTCCTTCCTATGGCAATTTTACTGCGCAGTGCCCTGCGCGCCTTCCAAGCTGCGCCTTCCAAGCTCCGCCAGCCGCGCTCCGCCCGCGCTCAGCGGCGCCCCCGGGGGGAGCGGGGCGGTGCCGGCGCACGTCACCAGGAAGCGGAAGCAACGCCAGCGGAATAATTTCCGGGTGCGAAGAGCTGTGGGAGCGGGCGGGAAGCGACGGTGGGAGCGGGCAGGAGAGGGGCCGGGGACCCGCCATGTGAGACACCCTGACAGCCCCAGGTGAGCGGCGAGCGGGCCGGGCCCCGGGGCTGCGGCGGTTCTCCCGTGGGGGCGGAGGCCGCTCTCAGAGCGGGGGGTTCCGGCCCCTGACAGGCCCCGTAGGGGCGGCGGCCCCGCGGGACAGCCGCGCGGAGCTCCCGGTCGTGCCGCCTCGCGGCTGCCGCTGCCGCTGTCGCTGCCCCGCGCTGGGCCGTGCGGGCGGCGGCTGCGCTGCCGCTATCGACCCCGGCGCCGCCGAGTTCGCTCTCCTCTCAGCTGCATCTCACAGGGAAACTGTCGCCGCGTAACCTGAGTCTGTGACTTACGTGGTTCCGATTTGCAATTAGAGAGGACGAATGCGAGTGCGCCTGGGCCTTTTCTAGTCTGAACGGGGCACGGCATAACGGGCGCCCCGGGCCCGGCTGGCTGCAGTGCTCCTGGACCGGCACCGTCTGAGGAGCTGCTGCCAGAAGTTGGTACGCCTTTCGACTGCCGCCGCTCCACTTGAGGAGTTGGAAGTTCTTGATAGGACTCGGTCTGTGCAGTTATAAGGGCCATGCAGAAGCTTTGAGGTGCACGGCATGCACGATTAGGTTCATTTCAAAATAAAGCAGAGTTTAAGGTGAACCTGGAATAAATTGAAACTGCCCCATAACCGTGGATGTAGGAAATCCCAGACGCAAGGAGGGAGAGGAGGAAAAAGTGGTATAGATATATGCACAGTATATACACACTATGTCTGTGATAATTAATGATTTTTCATTATAATATATAAAAGCTCAGTCTTTATGCATTTCATAAAGCCCTGGATGTGCATATATTGCACATCTGATCACGCAATCAGTTGTTCATTTGATTTTAATAATAACTTCTCAGGATGTATCTCAGAGTTGTCAGACATTTAGGAAATAATAGGAAGTGTGGGATATAACTATTCAGGATAAAATTAACAGTATTCTGATGCTTCCATATTAGGAAGTTGGTGCACAGAAGAAAAGTTTGTGGTTCTTACTTTTAAGTTCTTACAGATTTGAGGCATATTATCATGAATGTGCCTTTGTTTTACTTATCTGACAATACTTATGCTGATTTTTACTTATAGTTTGCCTTCTGGTATTTTTTCCCCATTTTTAGGATTTGTAATCGCTCCTAAAGTTTAAAAAACAAAACAAAACAAAAAAAAAAAAGAGAGAGAGAGAGAACTAATTGCTTTCATAGCCATTTATTTTTGTGAGACTGTAGCAGAAATGCTAAGTCATTGCCTGAAACAGTGATTGAGCACCTGGTGGGAAGGCAGGGCCTAGGGGAGCTCAGGTGCATGCAGTGCACTGAGTGACCAGAAGGGATGGAGCCAGGATCCGCCCCTGCACCTCATTTAAGGGTTGGCAGAAGAGGCCTGACTGTCTCCATGATCATAGCTGATACGGTAACATTCATGGATTAAAAATACTTTTGAATGATAATGTGTTTCTGCAATAATGTCTTAAGTTCTCACAGATGATGTAGTAGATACTGAAATCTACAAAGTATAAGGAAGGATAATTTGAATCATTCACCTCTCAAAGAGAAAGCGAATTGTATATCAGGGCATGAATGATGTTAAACAGGTGCAGACTTAGAAGCAGAAATTAATACCATACTGGCAAATGCACAGCTTCATGTTGTTACAGGATGTTTCACTGATGTTACTGTATGATGTCAGTAAAATGAAATACCGACTGTGTTCTGTCACTATCTATTCTTGCTGGCTTTTTGAAAGCGTAATTAGAGCTTCTATAGAACGTAGTTTTAAAAGTTGTGTTTTTGAAATCTAATGAGGAATGTTTAATGCGTATCATTCTCATGTTCACAGGTTACTTCGATCAACACTTAAGACGTAGGGCAGCGATCCACTGCTAGCAATTCATACTATGACTTCTGTTCACTGTATAAAACTCCAATGAATAAATATAATGCCAATGCAAAGAGATTTATATTCTTTTGTGTGTGACTGGATGATCTCTCACAGAAATAAGCAGAGAATTCAACATAGCACTGCTGAAACTTAGTCAAGTCAGTGTGCAAATCTGAGTTGCACGCTGATGAAATGTGAAAGCCTTCAGATAATTTGTTGTACATGTGCCTATGAAAATGTTAAACAGTTTGATCCATTTATACAGGTTAGCAAAAGATGTAGGCAGGTGCCCAGAGCGTGACTGAATTTTTACAGCACTTTATCTAGTGTTAAACTGTCGAATAGTCAGAGATGGAAACTGTCCAGACTGGTGTTTGTCATGACTGTATTTTAATGTTTTTCTCAACCAAGCTCTTTTCAGTTTTACCAAATAAGAATCTTTAAGGAAGTATGAGATAAGGAGGAATGCTGCTGGCATTCCCGTATGACAAACTATTTCTGCACAGTCTACATAAATAATGAGTATCTTCTGATAGAGTTAGGCTAAAGCTTGACCAGGTTCTTGAGATGAAGTATCTGCAAAGATGCAGGATTGCAAAGTGTTGTTGGTGGAGACTGATCTTAGGGTTTGTACATAGTCCTCAATCCAGGTAACACATCTGCCCATGTCACTTCAGGTCATCAAAAGCCCTTCAGTTTAGCTAAGAAGTGTTCAGTCAGGAATGTTGCATTTGCTTGTAGTACTTAAGCCCCACAAATAAAGATAGTAACCAATGTTTGGTTAGTAAGTAAACCTAATGCCTTGCCAAATGAGAGTGGTGTTGACAGGTATGCATCCTAACTCCTGAAAATTCAATCTTCCCCATGGTGTGGGCAAGCTAGAGACTTGAATGATGATTCTCTGCACAGTATTGAGGGATGCTTAGAATACCTAGGTTTATCTTCCTGTTTAACCATTCACTTGTGTTTTATGTTTGTTTTTATGTTTGTTTTCTGCTCTGTCTGGCTTACTCTCAAGCACAGAATCTGTGAAAGTGATTCAGTGACTGAAAGAATTGTCCTGCCAAAGCTGTCTTTGCATGGATGGCTGTGGTCATATAATTTCTGAAAACCTAATCCTTATTTCTATCAAATGTAAAATCGTGTAAAACATCTCTTGTCCTGGTTTTAAATACCAGTTACTAAAACTCCAATGAAGCACAGTTTACTGAAGTTTTCTCAGTAATGCTCATCAGGTCAGGAAGGTGGCTATCTTGTTTCTTGCCTATTTGTAAAGACAGCGAACCTTAGTTTTAGTGACAGTGATACAGCTCCAGTTCTTACTTGTAAGCTTTTTATAATATTCATATTGATTTTGGCTTTTAGAATGCGTGAATTTTCATAATTCAAGTTGTTCATGTGCCTTATTACAGCATGTAACATAAGACAAAATTGGGAAAAAAATCTACTAGTATGCTGTGATACATTGAGCGTGCTTCCTGCATCAGGAGTCAGTGAGTGACACTGAAATCAGATTAGATGTTGGTCCAATTGAAAGAGCAGATACGGTGGCTCTATTGTGTGTTTATACTTCTGTATTAGTAGGAACAAGAATGACAGTGAAAGTCTGAAGATTCTTGGGTACTTAATTAAGGGCATATAATGTAAAGTGATGTCTGCTACTTACACTCTCAAGGGAAAAATGTTTTTTAATTCTTTTACAATAATACAGAGTGTCTTTCTTTAGATTTTATTTTGAAATTTATACGTTTATTTAAAACCTCTCGGAATGCCCTTTCCTGTTGCATCAGAAAAATGAGTACTAATGGGATTAAGTATGTGTGAGACTTTAAATTGTAAATTGTCCTAGCTAGGAAGTGATTGCTGTGTTAGATAAGCTTCAGAGCGCTGATTACGGTTTATTTAGTGAGAGGAAAGGAGGAATAAATGAAAATCACAAAAAGAAGCTTAAAAAAATCGAATGTTCACTGGTGATTCCCACACTTTTCCTTCAAATAGTGCTTTGCATATTGACTCATTCTTTATCAGGAAACCTGACACAGTGAGTAAACAGTTTAGAATTGAGTCCACACTTAACTGTTTCCTTCAGATAGGATTTCTTTGTTTGGGATGTAAATATTGAATGATGGATTTACTAAATAATTATTGAGATTATTTTATAAGGAGGTAGATGATTTTTCTAGACAGAAATGCAACTGATGACAAATTTATTTCAGAGATGAATACGCTACATATCTAGACCTAATAGTATAGTCTTTAAAAATATCTGTGTATGTGTGTGTATACATCCAGACATGCTTCTGTTACTTTTCCTTAGTAAGTTTTCAAAATTGCATGAAATACCTTCCAAAAGTAATTCCTGGACAATTTAGATGTACAGTTCCCTGCAAGTAGCAGTGTAGTCTCCTGCTTCAAGACAGAGTGAATACTGTGATGTTTTTGACCTGCTTGGTGACTGATATTCTTTTGAGAGTGTGGGATAATTATTCTGTAGTCTTTACCAGGGAGTGAAATTATAAAGTTCCTTTTAGCTTTGATATAGACTGTCCAATGGACCCTGTCATGTGTTATAAGCAGTTGAGTTCTGAATCCTACGTAGGGATAATCTGAGTGAAAGCAGTGCAAGAAATTGGTAGATTGAGACTCTACTTCTCATATTACATCAAATTTTAATACTGACAGTTTTGTTGTAACATGCCTTGAACAGATCAAAGTGGTAATTTAACTTCAACATGCAGAAGTGTTTATTTTTAAAATGGGAAACTCTGTATTCATTCTCAGTTTTAAATGTTATTGTTTTTCTTTCAGATTCCTCTTTACATCAGTAGAAATGGACAGCAGCAGTTTCATTCAGTTTGATGTGCCTGAGTACAGCAACACTGTTCTGAGCCAGTTAAATGAACTCCGCTTGCAAGGAAAGCTGTGTGACATAATTGTGCATATTCAGGGTCAGCCATTTCGAGCCCATAAAGCTGTCTTAGCGGCCAGTTCGCCATATTTTCGTGACCATTCAGCATTAAGCACCATGAGTGGCTTATCAATATCAGTTATTAAAAATCCCAATGTTTTTGAACAGTTGCTTTCATTCTGTTACACTGGAAGGATGTCCTTACAACTGAAGGATGTTGTTAGTTTTCTAACTGCAGCTAGCTTTCTACAGATGCAGTGTGTCATTGATAAATGCACACAGATACTGGAGAGTATTCATTCAAAGATTAATGTTGGTGATGTTGACTCTGTTACTGTCGGTGCTGAAGAAAATTCGGAAAATCGCAATGGAGTTAAAGACAGCAGCTACTTTGCCAACCCTATTGAGATATCTCCCCCCTATTGCTCTCAGGTGCGACAGTCAACAACAAGCAGTGATCTTAGGATGGAAGCTACTCCAGGTAAAAGTCTACGTAGTCGACTGCAAGAAGAAGGGCATTCAGATCGAGGAAGCAGTGGGAGTATCTCTGAATATGAGATTCAAATTGAGGGTGATCATGAGCAAGGAGACTTGATAGTAAGAGAAAGTCAGATTGCAGAGGTGAAAGTTAAAATGGAAAAGTCTGACAGGCCAAGTTGTTCTGATAGCTCTTCCCTTGGTGATGATGGATATCATACTGAAATGGTGGATGGAGAGCAAGTAGTAGCAGTGAATGTTGGCTCCTATGGGTCTGTTCTACAACATGTTTATTCATTTACCCATGCCTCATCACAGGCTACGGGTGTGTCTGAAACTTTTGGAAACCTTAGCAATTCAAGTCCTTCAAGGTCAATGCTGAGCTGTTTCAGAGGGGGTCGTGCACGCCAAAAGCGGATATCCACTGGTCATTTACACAGTGATGTTCAAGGCTTGCTGCAAGGGACTGATGGTGATTCCATGGTGAGTAATACAGGATATGAAAATAATCCACGGGAAAGAAATGCAAGAAGTCACTGGTATCCATACAATGAGAGGCTGATTTGTATTTACTGCGGGAAGTCTTTCAACCAGAAAGGGAGCCTTGATCGACACATGCGGTTGCATATGGGAATAACTCCTTTTGTGTGCAAATTCTGTGGGAAGAAATATACCCGCAAGGACCAACTTGAGTATCATATTCGCGGTCACACAGATGATAAGCCCTTCCGCTGTGAGATCTGTGGCAAATGTTTTCCTTTCCAGGGTACACTAAACCAGCACTTGCGAAAAAATCACCCTGGGGTAACAGAAGTGAGAAACAGGATGGAGTCTCCAGACAGAACAGAAGCATTTGTGGAGCAGAAAGTAGATAATGATGCTTCAGCTTCTGAAGCCATGGATTCTAGTATGGAAGTTCATGCAATGTCTAACACATCAGATTAAAATATTACACTGTAAAGTGCAAAACAAACAAGCACATTAATGATGTATTTTAAAAATCTCTTATTCTTTTAGTAGTCTTCATTACAAGTATAAGAGCCTTTTAATTTTCCTGACCTTCTGGAACTTTTTTTGAAATTGTTTCTGGAAAAGACTACATAAATATTCTTTGTTTCTATAGGAGGCTGGGTTGATGGGTTTTTTTCCACTTTTGAAAATGCTTAAAATATAAAAGACTGTGCTAGGGAACAGATGGGAAGAGTCTGATAAAGTGTCCCTGCTGGTTGATCTGGTAAGACACAAATTCCAGTGGAGAAAGATATTAGAATATGATTTACCTCTCTGCTGGGTACACAAAGAAGCTGTAGTCTTTATTTTATTTTATTTTACTTAATTTCATAAATCCTATTGCTGATAATGAGGGTTACATAGCAGTGGGGAAAGAGAATATTACATATTTGATTTCTTCATTTGTACCATTGAATTTTTTTTTTCTCTCTAACTGTCTGTTTATATATATAAATCTGCTTTATATATATAAAATGCTTTCACTTTTCCTATTCTGGTTAAAGTGAATGTAAAAAATATGTGAAGGTTTATATCATGTACCATTCTTTCAACTGCTAGATCTCCTCTGTTGAGGATTTAGGACTTCAGATTTTGGGAGAATCTTTTTGGTTTTAGAAGAATTTTGGTTTTCCTTTTATTAAACTATTACTTTGTGTGCAAATGAGAGCGAAGAGTATTACCTTGTTTTAATAGCTTTGCTCTGTAACATTTGTAAACCAAATGCCATAAATCTATTAAATTATGGTTAAATTGTTTAGGGGTTTTGTTAGTTGTCTAGAACATGAACTGGACAACCTGTGGTGCTGACCTTTTTATATATATAGAGATAGATATATATCTATATATATATATATATATATATTTAAAAAAAAAAAAAAAAAGAAAAAGAAAAAAAGAAAACTAATAGCAAACCCAAAAGTAGCATTGTGGTTTTTACTGGCCTCAGAATCTACCTTCATTTCGTACTGTAAAAGCATACCAGGTAATTAAATTTAACTTCATCGTTCTTCTTGGTTGGTTAATGCTAACCTGAGAGATATTTTGTAGTTTAAACTATAGTATTTCCAAGCAGTATTTAATAGGTCTCTTCTTAGAGAGCTGTTTTCAGGTGCACAATGACTTCCTACTTGCAGCTCCGAGTGACATGTCAGCACTTGGAATTTGTACTTTTTTGTATTAAAAAAATAAAACAACAAACAAATACGCTATGGGAACTTCAAGCAATATGTCTGTTATTTCACATGCAAGTATTACAGAGTTGCTGTGGCTTCCCTCATATCTTCAGTGGTTGTTTGCTGCATAAATGAATTGCCAACAACTTTTAAAATACTCTTTTGTTTCACCAAATGTTTTTGTTGTGTTGTTTTTTTTAATATGGTGCTAACTTTGTCGTTTAGGTCAGTATGATATATTAAAATGTGAAATGTAATGGTAACAATTAAGGAAAATTAAAAAAAAAAAAATCACACGATAGTGCTGAAGAGACCTCAAAAGCATGAGCTGGCAAACACTACTATGGAGATTCTACCTTATAAGCAAAATGAAATGAATCACATACTTCTTTGAAATACATGTTTTATATGGTTGGGCCTTATTGTTTAGCAAATAATGAAAAGATAGCTGTGAACTATGTCTATCTGTTTTCTAAGTCCTGAAATTTAGAAAATAAAGGCTCATTCATAAATTAGAGAAAAGCAAAGAGGTAGGTTTGCTATCTTGTGATGCTTTTTGGGCTCCTCTGAAGTTGGGGCATATTTGTGCAGTAGCTTTATTGAATACACTAGTTCTTAATATTGTGACAGTCTGCAATAAGAATTCTGTTAAATACCTATTTTCAGTATAAATCCACTGGCTCCCTGGGAGTAGTGTTAATTAAATGCAGTACCTAATTTGCCTGTTTGTCCTGAAACTGCCTAAAAAAAAGAGGTACAGGGAGATGGGACATTGTTTCTCTCCCTGAATCAACAATAGAACTATTGTTTCCAGTAAGGGAAATTGTATGTCTGTGTCTAGGGGAGGGGAGGTAGTCTATATGTCTACCCACTTTAAAACATGTTCGTGTTTCTGATGCTGTTTTTTTTCTTACATGCTTAAGTAATTAAATGGAGGAAAAAAAAAAAAAAAAAAAAAAAAAACAACCCAACAACCTGATAAATTAAGTTTGAGACATGCAAAATTTAAGAAATGTACAGTTATTCTTAACCCTTATCTTGGATCTGTGCTGTGGTGCCTTTGGTGTGACTTTTTCCATGGAAGTATGAGTTGAGGATAGCAGGATATGGGTATTGATTTTATATTTCTTGAATTTCTCTGTGTCGCAATCTTAAAACTATTTAAATCTAGTTCTTTGTATTTGTAAATTTATTGAACTGGTTTGAGTTTACCAAAGAGTGACTTATCCAAAATTGTCTCTGACAAAAGCAAACAAACAAACAAACAAAGCATAAACACAGAATCACTTTGATTGTACAGGTTCAGGTTCAAAACATTGTAACAAGACTGTTAAGAAGCAGGAAGTGATCTCTCTCTTTCTACAAAATCATGATTCAGCAATTTGCAAGTTTTACTTGCTCCTATTCATGTTGATACGCCATTTACCTTTTCCACTGCTAGCAGTGTTAAGAATTACCAAGCCATAACACAGTACTGTAAATTTCAACAGTGCTTCAAAAGATGCATACATAGGCAAGTATAAAGTATCACTCAGCATTACGTTTACACTTGCAAAGTGTGTGACTCTGGTAGAAAACAAACTTCAAACCTGGCAACAGCAAATAAATTGTGCCTTGTCACATAATGGTATGCCAGGATTACATTGTCATGAAACATGAAGCATTGTCTAATTGAAGTTAATTTCACTAGTTCGCCAAAAAAGAAAATGCTGTGTTATTTTAAGCAGATGATGGAAGTACTGTACAGTGTCTCATTTCTGTACAGATTTAATTTAGCACGGAACTGTTACACATTTCATTTACAATAAATGCAGAAGTCAAAATCTGTGAATGAGTATTTGACAGCAAAATAAATCATGAAATTATGTAGGCTGGTTCATAATTGAGTCTCTTCTTAATCTACCTTTTTAAATATAGACAAATGTGAAAGCAGCGGCAGTGTCCTTTCCTCTATATGTTTAAACAACTATGACAAACTGTGAAAATAAAGGATTTTATATCTTTGCTAATGTTTGTGGTTTTAAACAGTTATTTTAGTTTACTTAATCAGTTATCTCCCGTATTATTTTCAAACTTGTAAATACATTTAGAAAATAGCTTTGTGAATACAGTATATTAGCAGTTCAGTATGGTCAATAAGTCTCCAAGATTGGCTCTGCTCTTTTTAGTGTGAAATCTTTCAGTAGCACAAAGGATACTGTCAATTCACTGTTCAGCAGAATATACTGTAGGCGTAAAATGATAGTTTTTAATGCAGTCTTCCCTAGTATAAATCAATGTTTTATGCTGAAGTCTTTGGTTTACCTTTAGACAAAACAATGAGGCCTCTTATATATTAAGTTTGAATTTTGGGAAGAACAGCAGGAATAAAATCAAGGGCTGGGAAATGATTGAATGAGCTTTACCTTTAAAAATATATTATTTGAATTTTTGTATTAGTTTACTGTGATTCTTTTATTGTCATTTTTCTAAACAGGTTTCAGATTAAACTATTGAAAGGGACTCAAATATGCAACACCTAATCTATTTTCCAAGGGAGTTTAACCCTTGAATGGTGCTTTTTGACTGGTCAGGGTTATTTATTAAATTTTATATTTGAAAGTATTTGCGTAACTGTGTAAATTCTTTATACGGATCTGTTTAGTTCATTAATTGTAAACCTCATAATACTCAGTGATTGAATCTGAAATTTAGTAAAGTCATTCAAAATGTTCAAAGTTTAAACTGTGTGCATTTCACATATCTTTTAACAAGTGCCAGAGTAGTTGTATTAAATATTGTAGTTTCAGTATATTTGCAAATCCCTGTGACAGCATGAATTTAGTTGTATAAGTTTACATTTAAAAAGAAAAAAGAAAAGAAAAAAAAAAAAGGCAAAAGAAACCTGGAATATGTTCCTGTATTTATTTCTTCAGGGGATGTGAAGCTAATTATCAGTAACTGAACAGGTTTGCTTCTAGTTTACATAAGTAATTCCTACTATGGTAGATACGATGCACTGCTGTCTCTCCAATTTATGTATGCTATGAATTCAGCCTTTGGACTTGTATTGCGAGCCTCTGGTTGTGTATCTGATTAGAGGTAGAGCTCTTGCACGATTTGAACAGTGTTTCTGACAAAAAGTTTGTATTTTTAAGTAACTTTTTATTTGTATGTTTATTTTTCAAGATTAATATTTGAACAGTTTGAATGACTTGACTGGGTGTCATGATCTTGCAATATAAACTGGTAACCTCACAACTGCACACTTCATCACCACATGAAGTAAATGAAGCTAGCTAAGCTGATGCTGTAACAATAACTTGCCGTTAAGAATTATTTTATAGCATGAATTTTAAAATATTTATTCAAATGATATTTTACTCTTGTATTCACTTTGGTTTTAGATTTGTGACATGAATATTTCAGTGCTGCTTTATTTTGTTCTGATGAATTTGTTTCTTGCTTGTAAATTGCCTTTTTTTATGGTATAAAGTCAATGGGAATTGCTGTTTGTAAATTAAAATGCTTCTAGAGCAAACCTCTGTGGTGTTGGTGTCTACATTTAGATATTAGTAGTGGGCTTCAGGAAAAGGAGCTACAAAAAGTTGCAGCTTTATACATGTGCATCTACTAGGAATCAAAAAGCTTTAGAGACAAAGTATTCTTGAAGTTTCTGTCTTTTTGCCAGCCTAGCTTATTCAGTTCTGAACAGACTCGCTTTTCAGTGTTGCGCTTCAAAAGCTTGTCCAGCAGAACAATGAAAAAAAAACAGCCTTGCAAACGGTCTGACGGCAAGCCAGAGGTAACTCGTTTGGGTAGGGAGGTGTATTTCCTTTTTAGAGCAATATTTTGCTGTGCCATATACAACAGTAGAGCTAGTACTGTTCACATGTAGGGTACAGCTCGTAACACACAAGCTTGAATTTAACATGAGTAGCCAACAACTGATAGCTATTTTCTGCTGGTAGCCAAGCCTTAGCTTCTTTCATGGTAGCTGACTCTTTCAGTACCTTTCTAACAGGAAACTTCCAGGAGTAATTAATACATCCAAAACCAAGTGTATGCTATCACTGATTTGCAGAGAAAGATAAAGATAGCTGATGCTATTAAATTTTGTTTTAAATTTCCTAGCACTGTTCCCAACTTTCCATTGTATATGGGGTGTTTGATAGTGAAGACTTTTGTTCTATAAGAAAGCTGAATTAAATTTATACAAGCTACAAACTTAGCAGGCACCACAGAGTGCGTCTGTATCAGTGGAAGGATCTTGACTGGTTCAGGGGTTGGAGGAGGGCAGGGTTTTATTTCCTTTTATCCTCTAAAGACAGTCAGAATAAAACATTTGTTCCATTGCCTTTGCTTATAGGTTCTGAAAACTCGAGTAACGTGGAGTAGGGTAAGCAGGGACTGAAGAATGGAATAAAGGTAACATTGCTTTTGCCTGAGGAAGGAGAGCAGAGAAACAATCTAGCATACTGGAGTTTGGTTTCTTTTTTTGTTGTTGCTGTTATTTTAAGAAGGTAAATTGTTTCTTCTTTTCAGGTGGCTGTAGGGTTGGCAGGGCTGTGTCGGTGCAACTCGATGCAGCTAACTTCTGCAGCTAAGCCGCTCAGAAGTTCCCTCAGAAATTAGTTGCTGTTTCCCTCGTTATAAATGTAAGCAGCTTTGGCTGTTTCCTGTGCACACTTTCC